TGGGAGAATATAGAATGCGGCGTATGGATTAGGCCTGATTTTGTGGTGCCATACACCGACTGGAGGGTTGATTATGGGGTTGTGCTTCCACAAAGGGAGGATTGAAGTGTGTGGGGGTTACGCACGCATGAGGGGCTACCCATCTTCACGGATGGTTCTACGATCATGGATGGTACGGGAGCGGACCTTTCCGAGATGTCTCTTGCGCGGCTTTTAGACTTCGCCAGGGAGGGCTTTGCGCGGGTTTACGGGTGGAGCCCCACTCTCTTACTTACTTACTTACTTACCTTTCTCCAAGTACCACACAATTCCTTACTTGTTTCGGAGTATTTAGGGATTATTTCTCTAAAGAAATAATTTTCGATTATCTTAAGTAGCTTAACTATTGAAAGAGAGAAATTGAATAGCACAAGTTATGGGCTTTATAGTTTTGACTCCTAAATTATAATTGTAGTTCGATTTTATAATCGAAAAAGAGCAACAAAACGTGTTCAACAACAAAATGTGTAATTCAAATTACCAAAACAAGAGTCCCGCATTTATTTGTATTACATTTTATAATGGAAATCACATACTATGCACACACAAATTTATCTATATAGCATCAACCATAGCACAAAGCCTCAAAACATAAAATGATGTATGTGCTTTTGCATTTTAATATTCTTTATGAGCTAATGTTTTGTGTTTTTTGAATAGACAGGACTTATTTCCTATCTGAAAATTTATATTTTTAGGATTCTAAAAGTGTTTTTATTCCTTTTTATATTTTTTTTTATTTTCTCCATTTTCAACTTCTAATTAAATTCGTTCGTTTGTTGTTTATTAAATTTTATGCTTTCTGTTCGCATTGTCATAAAAACTTATTTCAAGTCCAAGAATAGCTGAAAATAAAAGAAAACAGAAAACAAATGGTAAATAAATAAAAAGAGGAAAAAAAAAATAAATAAAATAGAAAATTATTTTTATTTTTGCGAGCATAACGTTTAAGTACTTCATTAAATCATCATTGAAAACACGGCTGTTATGAAGTTATAATGAAGCTCATAATGTTTTTGAATGCTGATCGTTTATGTTACAGAACCAATTATGTTTAAATGGCGAAAAAGTCAATTAGAATTACTACAATATCTCGTCAGGAAACCCTTGACGATTCTCACTAGATTCTTCAACATCCTTATGAACGTCTTAAAGAGCTCATTGTGGTGTTTGTTCAAAAGTCCATGGCAAATACAACGAAGATAAGTCGAAAATGGCCTTCACTGATGTCGTTGGTCCGGTCCTCATAGCACCTGTTACACACACACATGCAACCTTTGCAGCTTCACCAAATTCCTCCAAGACTTGCACGCAGAAAGTCCCTTGTACATACCAAAAACTTGCCCGCAGCAGAATTGCATACCATAATGGCTCTTGTAGCCCTTGCTATGACTACCTCTTCATGTTTGTTTCAACGATACCCTCTGTGAAACCCCCAAAATTTGATCTCATCCTTCAATTTAATGGTTACAAACTTCTTTTTTTTAGTGAAAGGCACCACCGTACACTCTAAAAAATGATAGTAAATTCCTACAAAGTTCCACGATAATAAACCTAAAAAAAGTGTTAAAACACATATTAAATGCGGTAAAATAAACATTGAGGGTTCGATTTCACATTGATAGCCGTTTTTCTCAAAATTAGCGTAAATCCCCAATTTTTTCGTGATTGATATTATGTAAATGTTAAAAATCACAAAATTAGTATATTTTCACACTTTTACGAAGGAATTCACGCACATTAATTGGTATTTTGGAACGGTAAATTTTTGTTGCCATTTCGTCATGTTTTGTTTTGCTCAGTTGAAAAGAGACGCCGCTGTGACAGGTCGTAATTTGTTTATGTTCATTCGATGTGAATTAGTTTTTGCAAAAGTTTGTGCTGAAATTTAATTATAAATAAATATCGGGAGTGAAAAATAATAAAAAAAAAATAAAATTTTAATTATAAAAGTTAATAATATTATATAAAAAGAAGTAGTATTTACAATATAATACACGTATTATAAAATTATAATAAGTACTGCGTAAATTGAGGTTAAATCTTTATATTTTCAAAAATGAGTTCATACAAATGCAATATTTGTAATTTATTCAAAACTAAAGCTCTTAGCTTGTATCATAAACATTTGTATTTACATAGAACAAAAAAGAATGTTCCCTTTGATTGTCTATTCAAAAATTGTTTTAAAAAATTTTCAAGTTATGAGGCTTATAAGAGTCATTGGTTTCGTATTCATTTCAATATAAAGGAAGGTAAGGCTGCAAAAAAACAATATTCAACGAAAATGTTAACCTGTTCTATTGAGCAATGCAGTTTCCAATCAAAAATTGTTCAAGAAATTATTACTCATCTAAATTCTCATTTAAATATGAATTCGACAATCCAGTGCCCCTTTCCTGGTTGTCATCTTCTTATAAAAAATAAATCAACGTTAAGATCACATACATATAGAAATCACAGTGAATATCAGAAACATTTCGAAAATATTGCTTTATCAATTGAAAATTCTGAAGTTATTGATACGTATATTTCTAATCAAGATGAACGTTGTGAAAGTATGGATTTGGTGAATGAAAATTATTCAGCTAACGATTTATCGAATGAAAATAAGAGAAATACTGTGTTTTCTTCTTTATTTATTCAATTAAAATCTAAATTTAAATTAACAGAGAGTGCTTTGAATTTTCTTTTTAATGAACTTCATCAAATTTTACTTAATACCTCAAATGAAAATATTGAAAAACTAAAAAAATTATGTGAGCTTCTAAAAATTTCACAACATGAAACCGAAATCATTGATATTATAACACATTCGACTTTAATTTCCGATTTAAAACAATTTCAATCCCCGTACAAAATAAAAAAGTTTGTAATGGATAATTATAAATATGTAAGTCCACAAAAAATATTTTTAGGAAACGATTTATACCATAGAAATTGTTTTACTTATTATGTTCCGATTTTGGAAACTATAAAATTTTTGATGGCAAATAGATCTTTCGTACATATATTTACAGAACCAAAAAAATCAAAAGATAAAATCTATAGGGATTACAATGACGGAACGGTTTTCAAAGAAAATTTATTTTTAAGAAATAGAAATAAAATTGAAATAATATTGTTTCAAGATGCATTTGAGATATGCAGTCCTCTATCATCTTCAAAAAAGAAACATAAACTTCTTGGATGTTATATGGTCATAGGAAATTTAAATAAAAAATATAGATCTTCAATTGAAAATATTCAACTTGTTCTTTTATGCAAGGAAAGTTACGTCAAAACTTTTGGTTTTCACAAGATATTGGAACCAGTGCTTCAAGATATTCGTATATTAGAAGATGAAGGTATTCAAATTTTTAATCCCATTACACAACTTGAAACGCAATACTTCGGTACACTGTATGCAATGCTGGGAGATAATTTGGGTAGTCATCAAATAGGGGGATTTTGTGAGAATTTCAGTTCCACGGACTTCTTTTGCAGATATTGCTTTTACACACGTAAAAAGCTTAAGAATTATGATCTCACCCGTTCTGAAACAAGAAGCATAGAAAACTATAATATGAGTGTTGTCGAATTACATTCTGGAATAGAAAATATGGTATACGGAATAAAATTTGATTCTTGTCTAAATACTATTAAATATTTTCATGTTTGTTTTCCTGGATTACCTCCTTGTTTGGGTCACGATTTATATGAAGGAATTATACCGTATGATCTGATGTTGATAATAAATTATTTTATAAAAAATCATGACATATCACTAGATTTTATTAATATTTCTTTATCATATTTTAGAAAAAAATTTAAGCTACACTTAAACTTTCCGAATATAGAAAAAAATATGAAAAAAATTCCTGGAAAGTGCAATGAAGTTTTTCATATTTTAATTCTCATCCCATTGATAATGTTAGGGAAAATTCATGACTTTGAAGAATCAGTGTGGAAATTTCTAGCAACAATGATTGAAATGTGTCGCATAATTAGCTCCCCGACTATATCTGAAGATGCAGTTTCATTATTATCTTTTCATATAAACGTTTATTTTGAATATAGAAAAGATTGTTTTCCGGAATCACCATTAAGACCAAAACACCATTTTATTCACCACTATCCGGATCTTATAAGAAAATTTGGGCCGCTAAGAAACTTGTGGACATTACCATTTGAACAAAAACACCAATTCTTCAAGAACAAAGCTAAATTGTGTAAAAATTTTAAAAATATAACTTACACACTTGCAAGAAGCCATCAAGAAAGCCAGGCAAATATTAATGAGAGTCGTTTTAAACACACTATAGTTTCCGATCACGTTGAATACTTTTCAAAAACATTGTTCAATATAGAAATTCCATCACAGTTTGTATTTGTTACCAAAAAAATTTCGTATCTTAACACAATATATAAAGAAAATGATGCCATTCTTTTTGATTTAGATGAAGATAACAACTTAGAAATTTTAATTATCAAAGCAATATTCCTGAATAGATCATATGATCAAGCAATATTTTATGGGAAGTTAAAAAAAATGTGGTACAATGAAAATCTTATTTTACATGAAAGCTATAAAATCGAACCATCATATTGTTTAGTTGAAATTAAGAACATCTTAGAAGTGAAACCAATAAATATTTTAAATTTTCGAAACCAATATTACTATTCCGAAGAATGCGCTCATATTTTATAAAAATATTTGTTTTATAATGATTAATAACATATTTTTAAAAAATAAACATCAAATAATACATTAATTTTTTTTTTTCTAAATCAACTTCTAAATTTTTTAATTCAATTACAAATATTGACAAATTTAATATTAATTAATTTTATTCAAACAAAATCTCAAAAATATTAATTTAACTTCAATTTATTTAAACACATATTAATATAAAGATATAGCAAATAAGATCGAATATATTAAATAAAATAATTTAAATACTTTCAACTTAAAATATAAAATGGATCAATATTTATTTCATATTTGGAGTAATGACAGAAAAGTCAAAAATGTATTCATGTGCAATCCATCAATTGAAGCTGTTATTAACAAAGGTAAATTTTACAAATATATATCAACAATTTTTTCAAAATTAATCAATATGGAAGTTAAAACTAAAAATAAATTAAATATTTTCAGCAAAATGTTTTCATATGCAAGGCAGTAAATTAGTATTGGAATCTAATGGATCAGTCGTGTGTGAGGATGCCGTTTTAGAATATTATTCAAAAAATAAATCTGATTGTGTTTTTATGTTATTAAACTCAGAAAATGAATGGTTTTCAGCAGACTCGAAAGCTAAGCTTATACAATCTGATAACGTACAAACTCCAGTTAACGATAACATATCCGGAATTTTAGAAAATACTGAATATATTATTATAGCTGAAAACGAAATTACTAAGCATTCCAGTCCTGCACCCTCATTAGATACGACATTATCTATGAGTAGCACGGCTTTATCATCAAAATCTGAAACAAATTCGCAAGTTTCACGGTTGTTCTCACAGTTTAAAATTCCCTGGAACAAAATGCCACATGACGTCTCAGAAATGCTAGAAAACAAAAAAAAGCTAAATAAAAGACTTACAGCTCTTGCCAATGTAGTTGTGGACGAATTAAGAGCTTTTTCATTTTACATCCCGATGTCAGTCTTTCGATCAGTAGCTCAGCAAGCAGCTGATAAATTTCCTGACTCAATAATTGAGAAAGATGAAAATGGTAAATTTATATCTAATGAACCATTGGCTTTGATTACAAAAATGAAAAATAGGAATAATACTTTAAATCGTGCACCTAAACGAAAAATACCAGAAATAGATTTAAATATTCCTTTGAAAGCTAGACGCATCTCAAATGTTCTTCAAAAAACTTGTCCTAATTGGCAACCAAAGAAACACAACTCTGAAAATCATACTGCAACTTCTGCACAATTCAAGCAGAAATTTTTGCAAGAGATGAGTAAATGTGAAGAAATAACGGCTGATAATTGTAAGAAAATAGAGGAATATATGAAAGAAACATATGCTGAACAAAGACTGTACTTAAATAATAGAGAAGTCATTCCCGATATCTGCGAGATCAAAACCAATTGGCCATATCTTTTCGACAAAGATATTTTGAAACAGCACTTCAGTTGTTTAATGAAAAAAGATTCAGAAAACATAAAACTTAATTTTGAATTGGCTAAGACCAAAATTAAGGAATTTTTACTAAACTGTAAAAACAAGGATATAAGAAAACATAATTTAGAGACTGATGAAAATATTGTTTCAAACCTTGTGAGCTATTTTAAAGAAGATGTCAACTTTATTTTCAAAAAATTTACAGTAAGTACTATTTTCTGTTTAATAATACTTAAGTTTAATTTATTGATTTCAATTTCAGTTTGGTACAACATTAAATACACTGAAGGATGAGATTCCTACAAATACACCATGGGCAGGCATAGTCCGTAAGTTAAAAATATTTTGATTTTATAATTTTTGGTATTATATTAGTTACAAGTTTACAATTTCTAATTTTAGAAACGGATTTGGAGGGAGATGCTTTAATTTACATTTTTATTGAAAAGGTGCAAGTTAATGTGTTTGAATTTGTAAGTTCTGATTTTATCGGAATGTTGGAGTTACTTGTTTGTTATTATTATGTGCTTAACATAATATTTCCCAAAGAAATTTCGCAATTTATGGAATTTTTTGTTAGATACTTCCTTCAACATTATCCAGATGGTGTACGAGGAATAAAAAAATCAATGAACAGCTTAAATAAAATTAATAGTTTAATAGTAAAGCTTAGTTCACTTTAAAGAAGTGCATATTTGAATAAGACAAAACTGAATTTTATTAAGTTTGTGCTGTTAAGTAATTTTTGATTTAATTTAATTGTTGAAATGTGTTTTTTTTTTTTGTTTTTGTTGTTTATTTAAATACTTTAAATTTTAAGTATTAAGTTTTATGTTTTTTTTTTAAATGGATTACAAAATAATAAGTAATGTAAACATTTTTTGACTTTCGTTATAGAATTATTGAAATGTTCTTTAATTTTCTTTTTATTTTTAGTTGAACAAAATTTTATATATGAAATAAATAGGTATTCTCATTTTCATGTAAATGTTATAAAATTTATATGTTTTTGTTCAAACTTTTATCAAAATAGTAATATGTACTGTAATAATTTGATAACTAATACTTTTCAATAAAGTAACAAAATGAACATTCCATACATAATTTTTTTAAATGGCTATTAGATAATGAAGTTATAAATATTTATACCATTATATTTTATATTTCTATGTGGTTCAAAATCACACTTACATCCAGTACTTTTATTTTATATATTTAAAGAGAAAAATGTATTAAAAAGAAAATAATATTTTTTTAAATGAAATTTTCAAGCAATTGATGTAATATGTAAAGCATACATACAGAAGTTATTCGTCAACTTGACAAATTTTATTAAAAAAAAAATATTTTCTTTTTGATAAATTCTTTTTAAATCTATAAAATAATAATGTTGGATATTACATTTATTTGGTGAGGTTTCGCGGTACTATAGTGGTTTTTTACGATGTCGCTATAGAATTTTTCACTTAAATCGTGGTAACTCACACTAAAAATGTGAGTTTTGTCGAAAAATTCATGTGATTTATTTATTTTTTGCGCGTTTTACAATTTTTTTTAGGAAAATTCGCGTTAAAAATTTGTTTCGAAAACACACTCTTTTGGAGAAATTTTTTTACACTAAAATTAGAATAACACTTTAATAGGAATTCACTACTTTTAAAGTAGGCAACATGTTGCCTACTTTAAAAGTAGTAAAATCCAACCAAAATTTTTTAGAGTGTAGTCTTAGTTGGGTTCAATCTCTGCATTATTTGGAGCCATCAAAGTCAGTAAGAAGATAAATATGCTATCTATGATTTTTTTTTAACCCAATGTAACACTATAAATACTAATCTGAATCTGTAGGTTGTTAGAAAATACTATTTAAATTTTCGTTTTTATTAATCTAATTAAAATTCTTTTACAAAATTTTGTATGAGCTATGGTATCAGATTGCGGAATATAATAGCAAAAAATTTTTTTTTTGTTTTTACTACACATGTTTACATTTTAATGTTGTTTAAAATGAATATACATGGTACATATGTAACGACTCTATGTTGTGCTCATATGACTGCTTTAAAAAGATTAAAATTTAAATAAAAAACAAATAAGATTGCAATCACAAAACTGGAGCATTATTTTCCTTTATAGCTTCATTTCTATAGAATAACCATTTGTTTTTTAACCGTTTAACGGAAATTTTAATTTTTTTTTGTGCACTCATTACACAAATTATAAAATTATAGTTAAAGGTAATTGTTAACAAATAAAATTTTAAAACAGAAAATGTAGTTAAACTACACAATAAAGCCAATAAAGTAGTTCACACATTACTGCACGAAAGTCTGTAGCTGCAGCTGTAATTTACACATGAAGATTGTACGTTTACAATTTTCTAGACAATTTCCTTATTTATTTTCATCACAGACTTCCAACTTATATATTCGTAGACTATAGTAAACTTTATCGCCCGAAAACGCTCTATATCTTCTAGTTTATTCAGAAAATTTACAAAATTTACAAAACCTCACTTATTATTGTGTGGTTTCAGTTATTAAACAATCATTGAATAGTTTCCTTTTATCTATTTTCGCCGGTTACCTTAAATTCACGTTATACGCTTAATTTTTGCAATTCAATTTAAATTTCTGTATTTTGCGTTTTCGTTTTGAATTCCTATGAGGAGCACAAAGCTTCCATTAAACCTCTTCCATCTTTCTATATTTTGAGCGATTGATTTTATTTGTAAGTTTTGCCGGCGGCTGCTAGTTCCTCTTATACTTGTTTCTGTCATTTATTTTTAGGCAGATTACTACAATAATCTTTTTAATACACAATACTTTTTGTACATGCATATTCTTATCTCCCAAAATCAAAATGATAGCCTATAATCTTGCAAATCTTCATTGACTCTATTTTCTTTTCATTATTTCTTCTTAATGAGTCATCGTATTCAACAATTCTTGGACAACATTATTATTTTCATTTTATTTCTTATTCTTCTTTTCTCTCGCTTGTTTATCTTATTTGCATCTCATTCTTTACAATTATTGTCGAAATTTTAATAAAAAAATTACAAAATCCTATTAAGAAAGAAAAAGAAATAAATTATAAAAACTATTTCTTGCCTAAAACCAACTAAAAATTATTGTAAAAATTTAAAAGGTCATTTTATTTTTATTAAACAAAAAAACAATAAGAAAGAGAAAGAATTTTAAATTTAAAAACTTAAGCTTACCTTAGGGCTTTTAAAAAAATTTCTTTTCCATATTTTTAAATAGAAAAATTTCAACTTTTTAAGGGAAAAAAGTCAAACTTAGAAATATAGAAGATTTTTTAACATTATTGAGAGATTATTGGATGACAAAAAACAAAAAATAATGACAAAGAAAAGAAGAAAAAAGCCCCCAAAAGACGTATGCGAAATGCTTTTTCCAAGAGCCTCATAAAAAACTGAGAGAAAAAAAGGTTTGTTAGGTAATTTAAAATTTTCATGGTATCTCTTTTGTTTTTTTCCTATTCGACTTTATTTGTACATAAATTTTTATGAATGAAAACATATTTGCATAAATTTTCTTAAATAGAAGATGTTTTCAAAATATTTAAAACAAAAAAAAAATAGAAAATTTTTTTTCGGGATTTTCATTATTTTTTATTGTTGTTTTGCAAATATAAGGTTATTCTGTAACAAACGAACCTTAGTTCTATTATAAAATCAAATTCAGAATAGACCTTAAGAAATTCAGGTCAAGAATTTTTTAGTTAACAAGTCAACAATTAGTAAAATCAGTCGTTAACGCTAGAGTTACAATTTATTCTGCTATTAATTTGTGTACCAGAGTATGTACCTGTGTATGTCCTGATACAATTTCTTAACTTCCTTCATCACAAGAAACATTCCTACATGATAAATATTTAAAGATAACATTTGATCGGGACTCCTTTAAAATATAAGAGATATATTTCACAATTAAATTTTAAGTATCATATTACACAACTCAAATATTACAGGCAATATTTTTAAAATTTAAATATATTCGAACCCTATTCATAAGAATGTAGCATTAGAATAAAATTATAAATTTAAAAATTTCAAAAGAACAAAAAATACGAGAATCCGGGAGCGAATATCAACATCCATATCAATATTTTTATTTTCTCTTTTATGTGGGGAGGCTGTTTGATTATTTTGTTTTTTTTTTTTGTTTAAATAAGAACCCAAGACAATATTTTTGAATAGGTTATATTTATATCCGTCAATAGCTTTGGGACCATTTAATACATATATATATATACAAAGTATAATATACCTCCGATATGTCTCTATCTTTTATACACATTTATTTTGTTTACACAAACATTCACCCATAGGAAGGATGATACTTCATACATATATGGTATATGAAATTCATGTATATTTCCTGAAGACATTCTATATATCTACATATTTATTTATTATTGTATATAAGAATAAATAAACAAATAAAAAAAAATTTCTTTCTTTAAAACAACAATAACATTTTGTGTACAAGGCGTTGCACATTCATATATATAAGCACACAATGAATATATGGAAATAAATTTGAATAATGCCTAAAATTTAGATTGAGTACAATTTTTCATATAACAGAACACTATATACACAAGCACACAAATGTATTTTGTTAGCAATTGTACAGAAAACATACACATAAATATTACACAAGAATGGAAAAAAAATGGATTTATTCAGGATTAAATTTAAGGATGATATAAAAATGATGAAGATGAAAATTTACAGAAAATTCCAATACGATTTATTTTTTGAATTTTTATTCTTGTTTTTGTTTTCCGGTAATAACACAAGAGTGGTTATCATAAAATATTTTTTTTTCCTTTTAAAAATTCACATGTATTGTGCTAGTGTTATTTTTCTTGCGAACACTTTTCGTACCTACATTTTTTCCTACGTAAATTCTAAATTTTTGTTTTTTATTATCATTACTTTTTGTTATTATTTTTTTTTGTGTTCTGATTGTGTGATTATTTTCTTTATTTGTTTAAAGCTTTTCATTTTCATGTTTCATTTTAGAAAAAAAAAATTATAATAGGCCTTTAAGATTTTTCAAAGAAAATAAAAAAAAAATTCAATTTCTTCTAAGATAATTATTCAATAATAACAGCACTGGCAATTAGGATCAGAACATCATCTCTTAATGTGATGTGAATTTTGTTTTTCTTAGCAAAGAAAGAGTGGATTCAATTCTGAATTGATGCAGCGTAAAATTGATGCTATTACAAGATCATATCAAAAACCGTCTCAGCCGAAACTCAACAACTGCTTGAAACTTATACAGCCGCCGTAATTCACCTTAAATAAAAATTAAAATTGAACTTCTAATAAAATAAATTGCTCCCAAATTCAGGCAGTGTAATATTTCCAATACAAACACATATGTTGACGTACATTCAAATATACAATAATATAGGTTGAAGGCTATAAAAAGTTTCCATCGTGATTAATCTTTTCTTCTAAATACCATTTATACTCATTGCAAAGTATCATATTCAAGAATACAGAAGAAGAATAACTAGGAATTGTCAAAAACAAAATTTAAGAAGGACCAAGCAAGGAATTTTTATTGGTATCATTTTTAAGTCTTTTGTAATTTTGTTTTTTTTTTTTTCTGTTATCATTTTTTGTGTTTGTGCTTTTTTTTTT